GTGGAAGCCTAGAACCTGAGTAGGAGTTGGCTTGTAGCTGTGGGGGAGAGGACCCTGGCAGCTGGACAGTGGCACTAAAGTACATCTTTCCTCCCTCAGGTGAAATTTATGAAGAGCAAGCCGGGGGCCGCCATGGTGGAGATGGCTGACGGCTATGCTGTGGACAGAGCCATTACTCACCTCAACAATAACTTCATGTTTGGGCAGAAGATGAATGTCTGGTAGGTGCTGTCATTCCAGGCAGGGGCAGGTGGGAGGGAGGACACGGGCAGAGGTGTGGTCCACGTTGTGACAGATTGAGGTGCTTCCGTAGGCAGGGAGGGGGTGTGGGAGGAGCCATGTTTCTCTGCTTCCTCATGCAGCCCTGGGAGAAAGGGGGCTTATAGCCTCACCATAGCTGTGCAGTGTGTGCTAAAGCCTATCAGATAGGCGCCTCTGTTGCAGGCCCTAGAGAGGACAATTCAGCATGTAACAAAGACTCCTTCCTTCGCAGTGTCTCCAAGCAACCAGCCATCATGCCCGGCCAGTCATACGGGCTAGAGGACGGGTCCTGCAGTTACAAAGACTTCAGCGAGTCAAGGAACAATCGCTTCTCCACCCCAGAGCAGGCAGCTAAGAACCGCATCCAGCACCCGAGCAATGTCCTGCACTTCTTCAACGCGCCCCTGGAGGTGACCGAGGAAAACTTTTTTGAGGTGGGTGTCCTGGAACTGGCTGACATGATGGTATCTTGAGTTTGGCTTATTCTGTTCTGTAATCAAAGGACCACCATAACACTGGTCCCTGGGTTTGGGGACACAATGAAAAAGCGAAACGGACAGGTTGCTCTGCTCATAGCTGTCCCGGTGCAGAGCTCTCTGTGCACTGCTCTTCCGCATCTTGGCCAAGCAGTCGTGACTGCCCATCTGCCTGGTCAGAGTAGAATCAGGACACAGGTCCTCAGGTTTTGGGGCCTGGGCAGAGGTCAAGAAGGGTTGGTGGATGTTGCCTGCAGTTCAGTGACACCCAGCTGATGTCAGTCCCACCCCTGGGGCTGCCAGGGTAGGAGGCTGAGGAATTTCCCTCTGAGCACGAGGTTCTAACTTGAGTCACGAGGTGTTAGGGTGCCTTGTGGGTGCGCCCTTGGTTTCTAAATTCTTCGTCCTGTTTCTGCTCCAGATCTGCGATGAGCTAGGAGTGAAGCGGCCAACTTCTGTGAAAGTATTTTCAGGCAAAAGTGAGTCACTGCGCCCTCTCTTCCCCATCCTCTGCCAACGTGGGTGGTTGCTGGGGGAGCCTCAGCGCCTGCAGGCTTGGCCTAAGCCCTGTGCTCTTTTTCATTCAGGCGAGCGCAGCTCCTCTGGGCTGCTGGAGTGGGACTCCAAGAGCGATGCCCTGGAGACCTTGGGCTTCCTGAACCATTACCAGATGAAAAACCCAAGTGAGTGTCTGTGTGTCCTGCAGAATCCCCCTAGTGGCCCGCTGGGTTGTCTGGCTGCATGCCAGCGCCATCCTTCTGCCCTCAAGATAGGACTCTAGAGACTGCCTTTGTCGCAGACACGGGCAGATGGGGCTCGGTCACCAGGAGAGCAGTCTGGTGACATTCTCCTGGGAGGCGTGCAGGCAGCCTGGTTCCACCCACCTGACAGCTTGGGAGGTGCTCGGGCTCAGCCTGGGTGGTGAGGACCCTAGAGCCCTGTGACTGAGCGGAGAAGAGGGGGCGTGGGTTGGGGTGACTGGTCAGGGCTGCACAGGTCCCAGCCTGACGTCTGTCCTCTTGTTTGCAGATGGCCCGTATCCGTATACTCTGAAGCTGTGCTTCTCCACCGCACAGCATGCCTCCTAATTAGATGTTGGGAAGGAAGAGTCCACCAGGGCAGGAAGACGTTTCTTTCCTTTACGCTGTTGGTTTCTTTGGTTTTGTTTCGATTTATTTTTGCAGTTCTTGTTTCCTTTAAATGCTAGGTCAGTAGAGGCTTAACCACAACGGAAATGCTGGAACTCTGGAGGGGGGGAGGGGAACTGTTATCTCCCAAGATTAACCTTCACTTTTTAAGATAACTGTATGTGTGATTTTTTTTTTTTCCTGTTCATACATTTTGTGCTGCCCATGTATCTTGGCACATTTCAATAAAATTGTTTGGAAAATAAAACTATTTGCTGGGGTTCCAGGGGTGGGAGGTGTCTGATTTCCTCTCTCCCACTCAGCATTCTGGAGAGTGGGCCCCAGCCTTGACAGGGCCAGGGTGGGCAATAAACGGGAATTTGAGTCCTGTGGCATTCTTGAAGGGCGCTGCCCAAGCCAGGTTCGTGTTAGTTCTAGGAGAAACCTAGTTCTTCAGGTAGGCCTGACCTTGTAATAGTCACGAATGCACAAGCACTTACATGTACGTGGGTGAAGTCGAACTGAGTGGAGCCTGACCCTCAGGAGCTAGGAACCGCTGAGTTCCTGGACAGCCTGCCTCCCCCAGTGCTGGGGTTACAGGCCCCCAGTTTGAAAAACCCTGTAATGATAAGGCAGGAGAGTGGCTCGGGCTAAAACCACTGGCTGCTCTTGCACAGGTCCTGAATTCATTCCCAGCACCCACATGGTGCCTCATAACCATCTGTAGTGAGATCTAGTGCCCTCTTCCAGTGTGCATGCAGAACACTGCAGATCTTGACAAAACGAGGGAAAGTCAAATTGGAGCACACGGTGCTGTCCTGTAGTCTCCGGGGGTGGGTTCCAGGTGTCTGGACAGGACTGCAGGACTCAATGGGCTTAGTCCACACACATAATCACCTGCGTTTTTGTGAGCAGAACAAGCAAAAATGTAGCTGGGTGTGGTCATGCACACCTTTAAATCCCAGCGCTTGAGAGGCAGAGGCAGACACATCTGAATTCCAGGCCAGTCTGGTCTGCAGAGCAAGTTCCTGGACTGTTACCAGGGAAAACAACAAAATTGGTTTTCTTTTTCTCCACTATTAGGAAGTGTTTTTCATTTTGGTGTGTGCATACTCAGACACCTGATGAGGGCAGATCAGGGTCATTGGGCTTGGCCTGCTGGAGCCACCTTGTGGGTTGTGTGTGTGTTAAAACTAGAAAGTTCTGAACAGGATTCTGTATGACTAGTGACAGCTGCCTTGGCCTGTGCAGGTATTGTCATGGCTGAGTCCTGAAAGTTCCAGAGCTTTCTTGCTAACTTACCTGACACCCTGTGGCGAAGTTCACAGTGATTTGATGGATGCAAACTGGTAGAGAGCCCTGGGATTTAGATGGGAACTTCAGAGGTGGCCTCAGCAGAAGCAAGGCCTAGGAGGAGCATGGGTCAAAGACTGGCACCCTGGAGGGAGGAGGTGATGGCAAGAATGCCCTCCCCTCGAGAACCTGATGCGGGCTTTCCAGCTCAGGAGTGTAGTAGCAGCTGGAGTCCAGTGTCATCACGTGGGAAGCGCTAAATGTACCTGGGTTTGCTGAAGAGCAATCAAGGTGATTCAGAGTTTTACCGTCTACTGTTGCATATTTTTTGTTGGCATCTTGACCTATAGATGCATGCACACTGCATGTATGTCGTCCACTACAGCTGGAGTTCAGGGCAGGGCAGTGAGGGGCTGCAGGTACTGACCCCAGCGCGCCGGCAAGCTAAGAGCCCGCAGTTAGTTAGCCATTTATCCCCGGGTTCCTGCTGGGCCTGACGGTCCAGGCTTTCTGTTGGCAAGGGGCAACGGTCTCTCCAGAAGTGCCTCTTAGCTGAAACTAGGGTGAGCTTTTTGCTCACATTTTGATATCTGCATACCAGCAAATAGAGGATAAAGCATTATTCCCGATAGCTGCTACATCTATCTCGAGTGTGTGTGGGTGGGGGGGGACAAGAAACAAAACAACAAAAAACCCTGCCTCTGTCAGCTCTGGTAGCAGACATAGCCAGAGGGAAGGAAACATCTCTTACTGTCCCACTGGCCCAGGGACATATGCTCACGCTCTTGGTAAGCATTCCCTAAGGAGCACACTTATACTGTGTTTTATGCTCTTGGGCAAGTCTTTCTAAGTTGTGTGTGTGTGTTTTTTGTTTTTTGTTTTTTGTTTTTTTTTTTTTTTTTGGTGTATATGTGTTTTAAGAATATAGCTTTTTTGCTGGGCGTGGTGGCCCACACCTTTAATCCCAGCACTCGGGAGGCAGAGGCAGGCCTCTGTAAGTTCGAGGCCAGCCTGGTCTACAGCCAGGGCTACACAGAGACACCCTGCCTATTTTATTTTGAGATATATATATATATATAATTTTGAAACAGGGTCTCTTTACAGGCTGTCTTGGAACTTGCTATGTAGATGAGGCTGGACTTGAACTCACAGACATTCACCACCTGCCTCTGCCTCTTGAGAACTAGGGTTAAAGGCATAAGCCACCATAAGCGTCTTTGGGTTCTTTTTAAAGTTTATGTTGTGGGGTACGTTGGTGCAAGCCACCCTTCTCTGGAGGCATGACAGAGGATCCCTTCAAGTTCCAGGCCTGCCCCGCGTTATATAAGGAGAAGAGGTGGGGATCCTTTCCGTGTGAGCTTGCCTATGCCGCCGAGGTCCCTTCGCGCCACGAAACAGAGGAGGTGGGCGGCAGAGCCATTTAATCCTGCCTGCTTCAAAACTGCCGGGGAGCTCCAACCACTAACTTCCCCTGCTCCAGAAGCCAGTTTCCTCCTCCTGGCGGTGAGGGAATAAAAAACGTCTGCATTCCGGCCTGTCTGTATCCTAGCAACTTTTTTGTCCCCGTATCCTGGCGAGGACTGTAGATTGCTCAGCTGCTGCCATTATGTCTCTGACGGTTGCAGTTTTGTTACAACACCGCGCTGCGATGAACTTTATACAAAACTTTCCAGCAGCAATGTGAAATACTTCCTCAGGCCGGCTTCCCACTGGGCCAAAGGTCTGGCTTTGAAGCCACGTCCTAAGCCCCGGTCAGCAGGGAGTGCTGGTCACGCTTGCCCTTAGTAAAGATGGCGGACGAGCCGGGGCCCCGCTGCTAAAGGGCGGTGCCTGCGGTGGCTTCGATGCCCTGGACCAACATGGCGGACATTCGTGCCCGCCCCCTGGGTTTTCTCCCGTAGCGCGTCGCCCGCCTCCGGGGTGCTCGACGAGATGGCTAACTCGATGACAGTTTCCAGCAAACTACGGGGCCTGCTGATGCAGCGTGAGTTACCCCTCGAGCTGTGGGCTCCGAGGCTGTGTGGTCTTGTTTGAGCGCCGAGGAGACGGGAGGCCTGCCCCGGTCACGTTAACCTCAGGGGTCCCCGTCACTGTCCCCCAACCCCAAGCTTGGGTCGTCTCCACAAACAGGGGTCTAACGTCGTCTCAGACGGAAACTTCTGCTTTTGGAGACAGGGTTTCTCTGTGTAGTCCTGGAACTAACTCTCTCTGCAGAAACTCAGGGATCGGACTAGCTCGGCCTCCCAAAGGCTGGGATGAAAGGCATGCGCCACCGTCTCCCGGCTGCACCCACTATAGGAAAAGCTGTGTCTGGTCAGGTCGGGGTGCCGTTAAAGTGTCCCGGTCCTGGGGTCCCAAAGGCTCTTTCTTTCCTCTCCCCAGAGCTGAGAGGTACCAGCCAGCTGTACTTCAACGTCACCCTTCGCTCGCTGAGCTCCTCCGCACCAGAGGCCTCCAAAAGAGCCCCCGAGGAATTCTCAGACCACAGCTACGAGTCCATTCAAGTGACGTCTGCCCACGAGCACGTTCTCCATGTACAGCTAAACCGGCCAGAGAAGAGGAACGCCATGAACAGGGCCTTCTGGAGGTCTGGCCTGTGAACCCAGACCTGTCTGCTAGGAGGCAAAGGTGGGCTGGCCCAGAGGGCCCCAGTATGTATCAGCTTCAGATATAACCTGTTTCTTCTTGCTCCTCTGCAGGGAGTTGGTGGAATGCTTCCAAAAGATATCTAAAGACTCCAACTGTCGGGCTGTCGTGATTTCTGGTGCAGGAAAAATGTTCACGTCAGGTACTTCCAGAGCCTCCCTCCTCCTGGCCGTCCACGCTGATGCCTCCTTTACTTTCTTTGCCGATTTTGTTTGCTTACCCTTGCTTTTTGCATTACTATTTATTTATTTATTTGTTTGTTTGTTTGTTTGTTTATTTATTTATTTATTATTATTTTATTCTAAGTGGCTCTGGCTGGCCTGGAACTCTCTATTTAGACCAGGCTAGTCTAGAACTTGAAGTGAGCCTCCTGCCCCCGGTTCCTAAAGGTTGAGTGCTGGGATTATAAACGTGTGTGACACTATGCCTAGGCAGTGCTTGGGCCCCTCCTGTTCTGCAATGCGAATTTTTTAAAAAGGAAGGGGGGGAGGGAGGAAGAGAGGGAGGAAAGAAAGAAAGAAATAGCTGCGCTGGTGGCACACGCCTTTAATCCCAACACTGGGGAGGCAGAGGCAGGAGGATCTCTGTAAGTTTGAGGCCAGCCTGGTCTACAGAGTGAGTTCCTGGAACACCAGGGCTACACAGAAACCCTGCCTAGAAAAAGCCGAAAAGAAAAAAAATTACTGTTATTGTGTATGTGTGTGTGTGTGTGTGTGTGTGCGCACTCGCGCGCACACACAAGTCAGATGACCACTTTCGGAGGCCGCTCTCTCCTTCCCCGTGACTGAGCTCGGTGGTCGCTGGCCAGGCGTGGCTGCAAGCTTCAAACACCGTCAGCCACTCAGCCATCTTGCTGGCCCTGCACTGGTTCTCACTTAGGGCTTTGACTTAAACAAGACTTCTTAATTATGTGTGTGTGATCATCTCTATATACGCGAGTGCAGGTGCCCACAGAGGTGTCAGATCCCCTAGGGCTGGAATGACAGCTATTTGTGGTCCCTTCGACATGGTTTCTGGGACTCAGACCCCATTCGCTGCAAGAGTATAGGGCTCTTAACTGTAGAGCCGTCTCCCCAGCCCTCGGTGTTTGGTTTTTTGGGTTTTTTTTGTTTTTTTGTTTTGTTTTTTTTTTTTTGCTTTTTTATTTCTTTTGAAACAGGGTTTCTCTGTGTAGCCTTGGCTATCCTGGACTCTCTTTGTAGACCAGGCTGGCCTCCAACTCACAGAGATCCACCCGCCTCTGGGATTAAAGGCGTGCATCACCTTGCCCAGCTATATTTTTTTCCCTAAGGATAATATAAAACAGTCACGTGGCTGTCCTCAGGGGCTGGCCCAAAGCCCAGAATTCCTTCCCCACAAACTCAAATACAGAAATTAGCTCAACAACCCATGACAGGATCCCGAGGTTGGATCACCACAGTGGATCTATGACTTTGAAGAAGTTCTGGGCCTCTCAGAGCCTACACTGCTCAGTGGTGTCAGCCTCCTACAGAGTCACGTTCTCACGCACTAAGCGAGCACAGTGTGACTTCTGCTGTGAAACACTCAGGGGTTCTTTAAGATTTATTGATTTTACATATATGAGTGCTCTCTCTGCTTGGACACCTACACGCCAGAAGAGGGTACCAGATCCCAGTATAGACGGTTGGTTGTGAGGCACCATGTGCTTGCTGGGAATTGAACTCAGGACCCCTGGGCGAGCAACCAGTGCTGAGCCATCTCTCCAGCCCCACGCCCAGTGATTTTTAACTTCTGGTGTTTTGTTTTCAGTCTTCAGATTTCTGGTTGGTTCTTGGTGATAAGGCTTCACTGTAGAGCCCAGGCTAGCCTTAACTTTCTGATCATCTCGCCTTGATCTGCTGCCCTGCCCACCTCTTCTTTACTCCTTTTGTTTTGTTTATACTTTTGCTCATGTGAAGGCGTCAGCCAGAAGCTGATGTCAGGTGTCTTGCTTGATCGCTCTTCTCAACCTATACCTTGAGGCGTGGTCTCTCTGAGCCTGGGGTTTGTCACTTAAACTAATCTGGCTGGTCAGCTTGCTCCAGGGACTCCCTAACTCTCAGCCCGAGCTGGCATTACAGTGGCTGCTGCGCCCACTCAGTTTTACATGGGTTCTCGTGGGTAATCGAGTTGTTTGTGGTTATCAGGATGAAGTCAGGCCTTGCACGAAGCAGGAGGTCCAGCCTCTGATGGGCTGACCCTCAAACAGCCATGCAGCTGTTTGTTCTTTGAGACAGTGTAGCCCTGGCTGTCCTAGACTTGCTCTGCAGACCTCAGAACACACAGAGATCCGCCTGCCTCTGCCTCCCCAGTGCGGGGATCACCACGCAGAGGTGCATTTATCAGTTGCCACACAAAAGGTGTCTCCTCAGCTCCAATCTCCGTGTTTTCACTAGGAGCAGTTCTTACTATGAACTGCTGGACGTACTCAATAAGACAAGACGTTCCAGGTTTGCCAGGGCCATCTTGGCCCTTTGCAATCATGCGAAGGCTGTAAAGCTCCCTCAGAAAAACAACTCTAATGGCAGACGACGAGAGTACCATTTTCTACAGAGGCTTCTTCCAGGTCTAAGTGCTTCCGGATGTTTACCCTGGATATACGGACTCTAGTTCTCCCACTCCAGGGTCTCAGGATTCCTGTACTCATGCTTCTAGGACAAGCGCTTTGCCTACGGAGCCGTGGCGCCGGCCCTGCTCTGTTTTGGAAGCAGGGTTTCATTAGGAGCTCAGATGCCCTAAAGCATGAGACGGCCCCAGCTGTACCCTGCTGGTGGGCTGGGATGAAAGGCCTGAATAGTCTTTCCTGGTTTAAGGGATCATTTCTTATTATTTGTCTGGCTCCACGTGAGCCCCAGGATGTTGGCATTACCTGCTGTACCCACTAACACCTGCTGTGTACCCGGCCCTGTTCACAGCACCTGGCTGCGCTGGGGCAAAAAAGGTACAGGCAAGTCGACAAACACCCCAACTTCAGGGCTAGAGCAGGGGGTCAGGGGTTAAGAGCACTGGCTGTTCTTGCAGAGGATCCCAGCAACCACATGGTAGCTCACAACCATCCTCAACCCCAGTTCCAGGGAATCTGATACCCATATTGGCATCAGACATACACACGTGTATGCACAGACATACACGTAAGCAAAACACTCATATACGTAAAATAAAGTAGCGGGGCATAGTGGCACACGCCTTTAAGCCCAGCACTCAGAAGGCAGGGCTAGCTGGATCTCTGTGAGCTGGAGGCCAGTAAGGGCTGCATAGTGGGACCCTGTGTCACGATGAGAAAAACTCCAGTTCATGTAGCTCACGTTCCAGAATACCTGGATACACTGGATCAGACAGATCCAGGAGAGCAGTGGGACCAGAGATGGAGGGTGGCCAGTGACGGCCTCTCTGAGGAGACCTTTGCGCTGTGTGGCCTTAAGGAAGCCCACAGCCAGTCTTGTGGTCACTGAAGCGTGAGGGGTGCTCAGGGGACAGTTGTTAGCAAAGGGAACAAGAAGCAGAGTGGCACTGGGTAAGACTTGGGGCCGGTGCCTAAGCAGCAGTCAGAAGGAAGGCTTGTCCAGTGTCGAGGAAAGGGAGTGACCTTAGAGTACTTCTGCTGAGTAGGAGCATCGAGTTCCTTGGGGCAACTTTCATCTTCACCATCAAGATACCTAGTTTCTTCTTGTTTCTTTGTGCATGACTACTTAAACTGTAACCAACAACCCACCAACAATTCACCAGGCCTCTTGGGCCCTAGCATTTATATACTCTGAAAAGTCCCCAGAACCCCAAACATCACACAATTGCAGAAACAACAGCAGCTGCCAAAACCACGCCTCTGCCAGAGCATGAGGCAAATCAGAGTCAGAGTCAGTGCTGCAAAGTGGCCCCACACCCGGGAATACAGCGAAAACATATTCTTTATAATATTTCCGTGCTTTTTAAAAAGAATCTGAAATTCTAAAATTGTCACTAAAATTCTAAAATTTCCCCCTTTCTGTTTTAAACCATTAATCATGTTGTGTGTAGCAGGAAATTATAAACAGAGACATTTTCAATGAACTAAGTGCTTTTTGGATCCGTGGCCAAGGTTCTCAGGAAATCTCTCCTGCTCAATTCTAATCTTTCTAAGTTTTAACAGTATCCACAACTTTTAGTTTTCTGTAGAAATATAAGCAAATCTGCATCCCCAATGCAAAACTTTTGCAGGCTTCCCTTCTGACACACCTGTGGTGTTATGTCATTAATATCTACTATTGATACCTCTTTTAGTAAAGCTGCAGTTAATTCTAAACAGCTGTATAACCAAATCACCACACAGAGACTAGGATTTATTTAGTTAACCTAGGTCACAATGCTGGGCAATAGTTACTCCATCCTAAACCTCCAAACCCGCATAGCATAGTTTCCTACCATTCAGATTCACCCATTATACTTGCTTTTAGTGATATCTTAGGTCCAGTTCATCTCTCCACGTCATCCCAAGACCTCTCCTCCAGCCTCTGCTCTCCCAGCTTCTGTTCCTGCTGCTTCTCCTCCTGCTCTGCCTCCTACTTCTTCCTCTCCTCCTGCTTCCTTCCTCTCCTCCCACTCTGAACCAGGATGTCCCACCCTATCCTCTCCATTGCTTAACACTGTGGCTGGTTGTTTTAACTGACAAACTGGAGAACAAATGGTGGCGTGTTTACACAAACTTGAGACAGGTGATGCTTAGAATAAGTATCACAATGCAATGTCCGGATTAAAACCAGATAGTGGGGGAGAGAAATCAGCATTTGAATGAACAAGGTGTATAGGTTCCAAAAGAACATTATACCAACACACACCGTTATAGTGTATAGGAATTAATATGGTATATATTAATTCCACATTTTTCTTCCTATAACCCAGGGTCTCTCGGCTCTGTTATCTGGAATGGCTCATAATTTTTGCTGTGAGCCAGGCCCCAAAAGCCATTTCCTGATGGCAAGAAATTGCCTCGGATATCTCTTTTGGATCTGAGCTCCTGAACTCAGTGGTGGCCTTTACCACTTCACCTACACACCCCTGGAAGCCTGGGCCTTCTTTCTGGTTTATATTTAGAAAAACCATTGCCTTTAGGGATGCCTTGCTTACAATTTTGTTGCAAACAACCAAATTTTCCACAATTAAAGCACTGAGCGTTTTCAGATCTGCGACCTTTAGCAGCCTGGCCACAGTCTCTTTGCAAATAAGTGACGGCACTTCCGGCATTTGAAGCACTAGGCATCTCGGTATCGGAGACCTCTAGCTATAGCTTGACCAGTGATACCAGCATTAGAGACCAATACCAGTCCATACCCCTTATCCGTTCACCCATGGGCACTGCTTCCACCTTCGCTGGCCTAATTACTTTTTTACATTCAGTATTCTCATTTTCAGATGCCAACAACTGTCTTGCATCAGGGTCTGATACGGCTTTGTTCACAGCTGAGACAAATCTTGGTAAAAAGTCAGTGAGGGATTCTCCAGAGCCTTGTATAATCTTTGTAAACAAGGTGGACCTTTCCCTGGGCTCCTCAGCGTTGTCCCGAGCTCTTAAAGCCGCTAAGTGACTGTTCCAGCGTAGCGTCACCTTGCTTGCTACGTTATGGATTGTTCCTTCCACCCTCTACACTTTTCCTTCTTCCCTTTCAACCCCCTAACACTGACTAGGAGAGAAAAAAGGGCAGAGAGGAAAGGGGGTGGCATTATCATCAGACTATTTCCTGCTGATTAGGGCGATCAAGATCCTTGGGGCAAGTTTGATCTTCGAAGTCAGGATCTAACTACTTCTTCTTCTTCTTCTTCTTCTTCTTCTTCTTCTTCTTCTTCTTCT